GATGTAGCAAATGCTTTGATGGACTTCTGTTTGTGTTTCAGGAGGTGTACGTACGGTGGATGTCGAAGACCCTGGCTACGCTCTAGACTGTGAGCTAGTAGAAGCATCGCACTTGCGCAGAATGTTTGCTGGACTAAGTTGCGTTAGTGTTTACGTTGAGCATACACACCCGTTGGGGCATCGTCTGCACGCGTTGTGTGAGGTCTGTTTGTCTTTAGTTTGATTCTCCCGGGGCCGTGCGTCTCATGGAAGGCGCGCGCACCTGTTCTAGATGCATTTGTTCGCGATAGAATTGTGTTTGCAGTGTAAAGTGATGCATAGCCAGTGGCCGCTGGGAAGCATGCCATTACACTGTTTTCTCAGGGCTGTGCTCGGATTTGATTTCGTGAATGCACGCGCACGTCGTTGACCAGGCCCATTGGTGTTGTCTGGTTCCATTCGTCTGCTGTAGAACGATGCCACGGAAAATGAGGCTTGCAGCCTCCATCGATCAATGGAAGATGCCAACGAAGATATTGCAGATAAGTACTTTGATAATGGCCTGTTTGTGTTTCAGGAAATGCATGTACAGTGAAATGTGAATACACTGGGTTTGCTCTAGACTGTGAGCTAGTGGCAGTACCGCTCTTGCGCTGCATGTTTGCTGGACTGAGTTGCGACGGTGTTAACGTTAAGCATACACACCCGCTGGGTCAGCGTCTGCACACGTTGTGTCAGGTGTGTTTGTTTTTTTGGCTTGATTCTCACTGGGCCGTTCGTCTCATGGAAGACACACGCACCTATACTGCATGCATGTTTATGCGAGAGAACTGAGGTTGCAATGTGAGGTGATGCACAGCCAGCGGCCGATAGGAAGCGCGTCATTTCTCTCCTCCGTTATCTCTGGGTTGAGTTCTGATCCAATGGTGAGAATGTTTAAGTTCATCTGTGATCAGGCAAACTGGTGTTTGCTGATTGCATGAATGCAGTTTCGGAAGACACCGCCATGGGATGGGAGGCTTGCAGCTTGTCGGGATCAATGCAAAGAAGCGTCGACGAGGATGTTGCAGCTAAATATTTTGATGACGTCCTGTTTGTGTCTCAGAAAATGTACCTACGGTGAAATGTGATTACCCTAAAGACTGTGAGCTAGCGGCAGTATTGTCCAACGGAGAAAGGGGACTACAGCGGCAGTGCTGATGCTGAAGCGCGGCGTACCGTGCGCATCAAGTAGATGCGCTGCTAGAGAG